GGGGTTTGAGGGGTTGGCGGTCGTTGGGGCGGTACGGTGTGGTGGAGCTGCGCGGCGCTCAGAGCGATACCCAAGGGAAATACGAGAGAAGTGGGAGGACAACGAGCGCATAATGAGCCCGATTGTGATGCTCTTGTGCCCGCCTGTGCTCCCTCCAGGGCGTTCCGTACGCTCGAAGGGTGGGGGTGGGTGGGAAAGGGGAGGGGGATACCCTTCACCACCACCACCACCACCGCCGCCGCCCTCCCGTTCCCCTCGGCTCACACCTATTGTCCCCTTCTCTTCTCATCTGACAACAACGGCATAGCCGCTGCTCGGCTTACGCCCCGGTATGTCACGGCCAACGCGGTCGGTGTGTCAATAACAAAACCCTTCGTCTGCATACCTCTCTCTCTCTCTCTCTGGCGTCCTGTGATATGTGTCACTCGATTTTTCTCCTCCTCCGGTACGAGATGAGATCCCTATATACATAATCCTCGCCGGCCATGCGCGGGAGCTAAGCCCCCCCTGCGTGAGCTGCCCACCGCGCCGTCTCTGTCCCACTCGCGGGGCGGGGGGGCGCTCGCTCTCACATCATCGGCTTATGTACTCACTGCAGCATCCGCCGCCGGTCCAGTGGTCCAGCCAGCTCCGCCCCATTCAGCGCCGCCATCCTGTTCCATTCACGCGCGATACGTGAACACGCTCGCCCGCGCGCCCAGCGCCCAGCATTCAGGCTCTGCGGTGCGTCCTGCCGGGTACTGCTGTGGCTCAGTATCATGGCGTTCGGACGTGAATGCATGAGCGTCGTCGTGGGGACGGGGACGGCGGGGTCCCCGGGGAGCGCTCATCTAAACGCGCCCAGGGAGAGAGAGCAGAGCACGGCTCAATCAACTAAAAGCGCAGAGGCCCCTCCCTCCCCTCCCCTGCAGCTCGTTACCGGGGCGATATACGCGTGTGTGTGCGTGCGAGGGGAGGTGTCGCCTTCATTGCAGCGCGGGGAGGGGAGGGCGGCGCGGAGAGACAACCAGTTTCCGATTGTGTTGTTATTATGTATTGCGAGGAGGATGAGGCACGAGGGTGAGTGCTGAGCTCGCGGAGCAGTTTGCGTTCCGGTGGCTGAGCATGCTCAGCAGCGGGCCGGCGGCGGGCGCGGGGGCTCAGCCAGTGCGCGATCACCCGGGGAATTACTCGGAATTAGTACTACCGCGTCGTCCCAACCCTTTTCTCCCCCCTGCCCTTTCCGCGTCGAACCTGCTGACGGGCCGTCAGCGTCAGGCCCCTCTCACCCTATGGCACGCCAACGCCACGGCCCGTTTCCGCCCCATTTTTGGAAAGGTGAAAGGCCACAGGCCACTGGGGGGTGGTGGGGGTGCTCAATGCTGCGGCGTGAGGGTGATGTGAAGAGTATGCGATGGGCGTTCTAAGCCACGCCCCCTTCTGGTTACACTGCACCGCATGCAGGCGTGCAAACGGGTTGCATACTCAGGCGGGTCGAACGTCACACGTCTTCCAGCGCCTCGCCTCAGCCCACTGAGTAGCTGATCACTCCAGGATTGCTCTACCTATCTCTATAGCACAGCTTCGCCAGGCGCCCTCTCGCTCGCCACGCCCCCCGCCTCACACGAGCGAAAGGTGACGGGGAGTGAAGGGCTCTGGTTGGAGAGAAGGGGGGGGGGGACAAACAGAGGCGATGCAAGGCAACTGCTCGACGCGACAAAACTCACGGGTCGCTAAACTTTGAAGAGTGCGCCGTCTCCTTCCTCCTCCGCTCCGGCGCCCCCTCTTCTCATCTCCATGCCCTTCTTCCCCCCTGTCCCCCGCTCGTCCCTTCCACCCGAGGATAGTGGGAGCAGGGAAGGGGGAGGGGGGGGGGGTCACACTTCACAAGGCAGCGGCAACAGAACGGTGCGTAAAGCTATGGGGCCCCTTTATACACACACACACACATCTCCATGTTCCTATATGCGTCTACTCCTCCCTTGACCTTCATTCTCTCCGCAGGTCCTTCCCACCCTATCTCCCCATACTCCCCTT